GGGTTATAACATCGAATAAAGCTTTGTTTGTGTAATAGGACTACCTAAGCTCACTAATTGTGAGGTGTGACCTGGCCAAATATCATAGTACTTACTTTTAGATTATAGTTTCTCCCACTCTCAAATCTCTAGTGTATTGTATACCCTAAGCTAATCCCCTCGATAAACTGGTGGAGATAGTTAGGTTCTAGTCCCTCAACAAACTATAGGATAAGACTATACCCTTGTATATCATAAGGCAGCCTAAAATACCATATGATTTTTATCTATTCTTCTCTCTATATGAACTCCTGCCCACTAATCATGACATGTACGTCACTCATTTTTTACAATATCAATTTATTTCATTATCAGTACGTTGGGTTCATGATAATATGCTACCCAAGTGAGCATTCATATTATTTTCACAAGCATATTTTACTTTACTACATCATCAAATCCTCAAATTTTTTATATAAAATCATCACATCAAATAGCATTACAAGTTCACTTCTCATAACATGTATATATTCTTAGCTTTAAAAATCACTTCAACTTAGCACATTTTTAGTCAAAATAAACATTACATGCTTACAATTCAATCAATCATCAAGTTTAACATGTTTCCACGCTCAGAATCAATCATACATGCACATTTCACAATTTATAATCAATTAACAAATAACTACCTAAAGTAGAGTTTCTCTAGTTACCTCAAACCTTTGAGAAGTCAAAGGTTTACTCATTATATTTTAGCTTTTAAGCTTGATTTCCCAAGTAATATGGTGCCCAAATGCTCAATCTACAATTAGTCAAATTCTCAATTCATTAACAATGCCAAATGCACATTTTCAACTCTCATTTCCCATTTCTAAATTATCCAATGCCCATATTTTTTCACTTTTAGGCTTATCCATTGGGTTCATTAACCATAATTGACTCCTATTATTATTAATGAGCCAATAACCCTTATAAATACTATTTTTAGATGTTTATGGCATTTACCAACCAGCAACCTTTAAAATCATTAACACTAGATTTAAATACTCTAAACAACTCCTATTAACTTCATTTGAGTCAATAGGTTTAAACCATAATTTATATAGACCGAAAATCATTATCCCTATTCAAACCCTAACTCAAATCTTTGAGAAAATGGAAGAAGAATGGAGGAAAAGATTTAGGAACCTTGTCTGAGGTGATTAGGAGCTTTAAACATTCTCCAATCCTCCTCAAAATAGTGCCCTAGCAGAGTAAAGACAAGCTGCTTCGTTTTCCCTTTCTTTCTTGTATTTTTTATGCATTAGTTCATGACTTATTTTTGCAAAACATGTATTGTGCACTACGGTGCATGTCCCTATGCACTGTGGCATGCGGTACAAAGAAGACAATCTTGTGTCTCTTAGTCTTGTGAGCTACAGTACACCACATACATGTCGCGACATGTGGTACAGAGGCTTTTTTGCTTATTTTTCTTCACTTTTTGATACTTAAGTAACCTAATTTCACTTTGGACCCAATTTTTAAGCACCCGTTAGTCTCCTCTGACCACATACCACATAAATTCTACTTAAATACACTCAATTACTAAATTATCAAGAGCTTAATTTTTGAGACGTTACACAAGTGCTTTCCTCCTTCTCCTAGATGGTTCCTTTATTCTCTGTCTCTTCTTTTTTATCCTAACAAGCATCTTACATATTATAGGAGGCTCAATTGGTTAGATATTCTCTATATTCTAGAATTGTTTTCCTCTCACGAGTTTAAACTTAGTTGCATAACTAGCAAGATAAGTGTTTTTGTGGTAGTAATGTGAGATTTTGGTGATAGGGTCTTCTTTTGCATGGTATAGTATACATATCGCATGTTAGCATGGGATACTGGTTAAGCCCTGTGCCTTACACATGCATAAATTTATAGTGAAGTCAATAGTATGCCTATTTTCTTTCTTGGTCACCTTTTACTCTTCATCCCCATTATAAGTAACCTTATATGTCATGATTAACTCCATATTTGCTTCAAATAGCTCAATACATTCAGGACTATAATCACCAATATACCTAAGCATAACACCCTCACTTTCAACCCATCTATTCATCATCTTAATCCTAATCCTATCAAACATTTTAATGATAAGTAAGACTTTGTGCTCATTAATCCAGGCATTTAAACTTTCACTTTAGTTGTTATCTACAATCCAAGACTTACATCTAGAATTGAAATAGACTCTTATTTGAGTCTTAGGAGGATAAGAAATGGAAGCCTCAGCAACTTGCTTGCTTACTTGTCCAAGTTCTTACAAGTTGTCCTTAAATTGGTCTTTAAATGTGCTATATGCACAATAATGGAACCTTTCCTTCAACTCATTGCCTTTCTATTGTCTGCTCCAATTAGTGTATATATGTCGTGCACAAAAATGATGCTCAGCTTGTGGCAATGCTTCTCCAATGGCTAGATTTAGCCCTTGCAATTATAATTTAATTAATAACTTTAAATGCTGAAAAAGTTAAATGATTCACAACATTAAATACCTTCTACATGTCAGACATTAATGTAAGTGTTAATCCATCTCCTATCTAGCACCTTTTGCAACCATTTTAAAGATCAGTTCGAATTGATACTATTTTCTTTCTGACTTAACCCAAATGCAATGGGATGGAGACTATCATCTACATTAACACCAGTGGCTATCAGCAACATCCTTTTTGCATTACCTTTAAGAAATGTCCTATTAAGGCCAATTAATGGTTTGCAGCTTAGTTTCCCCCTAACCTTAAGAGAAAAATAACATAATAACAGCCACTGAGTAACAAGCCAAGCAGTGATTTAAAAATTATAAAGATAAGAGTCAAGAAGCATAAAACTTACTTTATATGGATTGAATCGAACAAACATCCTGCTAAACACCCTTCACCCTTCTTCAAGACAATTTTTGCTTTATTCAACACTAATCTCATAACCAAGGTTTGACATTCTCAACTTATTGCAATGTGCTTCAAGCTTGGCAAACTCATCCCTGTATTTTCCTTCTATCTCTTCCATGATTTTCCTCTTTGCCTTCTTGCATTTATACTTGCTGACATTTAATTTTAGATCTTGCTCTAAGTCTTTCTTTATGTCACTCACCTTATATCGTGGCCTCCCTTGAATTTTGTCCTTGAAATATTCATCCATCTAATTCATACTGTTTCTTTTGTTCTTGAAAATCCTAAAGCAGGTTATGGCATAGAGTCTTCACCTTTAACCTTAGGTTGGAACCATCTTTTAATGCAAGAAGCAAAAAAGGCAACCCTCTTGACATCTAGTCCGTACCCTTATAGGCTCAATTTTAAAAAGCTTCATACTTACATTAGTAGTGATTGAATGCTAGTCAATGGACTCCCTAACTTTCTCTATTGGAAAATATCTAGCCCAATGTAAAAAAGGCCTGCTACCATATTCAGTCTACTCTTGAGGCCTTCTTACCTCTTTAACAAGCCTATTGTCATTATCATCTTCTTCCAGTTTGACACAGAGTAATCATTATTACTAGAATCATTAACTTTTAAGGTCTCTTTACTTTCCTCTCCAGACTCACTAGCTTATTCTCTTTCGCATGCCTCTTCAGACTCACTCTCATTTAGATCACAATTGTCTTTATTATCATCTCCAATCTTATTTTTCTCAATCTCCTCAGGCTTACTATCTTCTACAAAGATACACTTCTCATCACCATCTTTACCATCCGACCCACCTAGCTCTCGCAAGTCATCATCTTTAATACCTAAACTATTAGCATTGTCCTTAGTACTGTCTCCACTATAGACCCCAAGCCCCTGTCTTTACTTAGTTCTCACCTTAACATTTTCTACAACTATAAGATAATCAACTAAAATATCGACCTTAGGTTTGTTTCCTCCCTTCTTATTATTACCCATCTTTGTCAATGCATCAGGATTCACTAAATCAATAAACTACAATCAGATTCAAGGGCATTGACAAAATTTCACAACAATTAAAAAAACAAACCACTACTCAATATCACATTAAATGCTTTACTTATAACTGGTGTCCGAGTTACTAAGCTTAATTATCTCCAACGCACTTAAGATTCCTCATACATATGCAATCCACCATACACGAGATTCCTTAATTGCACTTATCCTCTTTGCTACTCTAATCCAAATCACACAATCTGAACCCTTGATCTCAATCTTGTACTCTCACACTCTCACTTGTTGCTCTCAAGTTTACCTCAACAGTCTGGGCCTTTCTCTCTTATTGCTCTCAAGTTTCCCCTTTTCATTTCTCCCTTTAGGCTCAGGCACTTTGATTTTTTTATTTTCATTTTTCCATTTGATTTTTTCATTCTTCATACACTTTGTCCTCTTCAACCACAATTTCCACATAATATAAATTTTACATGTTATAGGGTGAAAATGTGGGTCAAACGCCTAGGTGTTAAGAATAGTGTGCCCTACAAAGGAGTTAGATAAGCACAAAATGGGAAACATGACAGAAGTTTAATAGAAGGAGAAATTTGCACTTGAGAAAAATTGTATAGAAATATAAATGCTCTACTTAATGGTATAAGATGTTAGGCACTTTCAGAGAAAAGCTTAAGGGTAAAAAATGCTCTTTAACCCTTATTTTTTAAAGTAATATGTAGCATTCAATACAAAGACAAATTTTCCCTATTAATATAATAATATTGTATCCAATATTATTAAATTATATTTAAGTATTATTATATTTAATGAAAAAATATTTTTAACACTTACATACATACAAATTCAAAATTCGTATCTAAGACTCTAAGGGATCATATTTCTATTTATCAAGATCAATACCTACCCATAGATTGGTGATAGATAAAAAGTTTTTAATTTGTTTATCCAAAAAACTATTTTTATTTTGAGTATTATGGTGTGACTAGGTATATTTTATATTTATAATAATAAAAACAAAAAATTTTAATACATATGGGTGGTTACTTTACCTGTACATGAACTTTTAAATTACCTTTATACCCCAGAGGAAACTCCACATTTCCCAATCCGGAGGAAGGAACACTTTCGCACCAAGACAGGGGAATAAAAAAAAAGGAAGCGCCTGCAATCATGTTCCAGACCTGCTCTTGATTTTTATAGATCGCCAACGTCTCCACAGTCTCCTCACGCAAGCGTCCAGGTTCGTTTTGTGTTTCTTTTCCTTTATTGTTTCAACTTCTTAGGGTCATCTTTGCGTCTTGCCATAGATCATGGAAGGCTTTTGAAAGGTCTAATTTTAGACTGTTTCCTGTGAAAATAGAGATGAAAAATTATGGATTCTGCAGAATCTGGGAAATGGGCTTGCTTCTCAGCTAAGATAAGCTGTTGGGTTGATTCCCATGATTCCTACATCAGTGAATGAGATCTATCAATATATATATCTAGGGGCCCTCTCCTTTTTAACTTTGCTGCACAGAGGGTTGCCCGGCTGCAAATTCTTGTTTTTTTCTTTGATCCGTCTGAAAATTTACTTTCCTCCCACTTAGCAGATATGTTTGGCTGCAACCTGATCTTGCTCCATATGTTCAGGAGCTTTTTCACTCATTTATAGTGATGCTGATTATATAATTCTTAGAGGTAGGGCAAGCAAATTGTGAGTATGAGGTAGAAGCCAGAAACTTGTTAAAATGATGTTGAATAGAGACCACTCAGCACATTTGAAGTTACTGGCCCAGTCTTAAGCTTTCTCTATGATATAACTTAAATTTGTTACTTTTTTCTTTTGGCCTATTAGGTAGCTTCTTGTGATCTGCTTTTGCTCGAGCGGCTATACACTTAAGTTGAATTCATATGGTTATACTTATGTACGCTATGCTTCCAATGAAAGTTGAATCTTTTAGACTAAATTCTGGAGGATTTACATGCTAATTTTGGAGGCTAAAATTTAAACTGTTCCTCTGTTGTTGATCTACTTATTTTTAATGACCATGTTATATGCAGTATAGCACAAAAATGGAGGGCACTGTCTTCACTCCTGCACTGGAGAAAATACAACATGTAAAGTCTGAACAAGGAGAAATATTGACCATGCCTTTCTTAGACGTATGCAAGCAGATATTGCCCGTTATAGGTACATTCTCTTTTTCCCTTACTTGGTGAATGGCTAGAGGGCAGGAACAAAAAATTGGGAAATGATGTATTGTCATCTTTGTTGCATGAACAATTTCCAGAGTTTTAATGTTTTATATCTGATTTCTTCTGGTTTATGTTCTTCAATGGCATCATCCGATGCTACTGTTGAAGAAAATGCAGTATGTTAAACAATTTGATATCCTGTTTTGTTTAAATTGAAATATACTTTTGGTGTATCCTTGCCTTTTCTTTAAATGTGTACTAACTCTAGTCCAATGACTTTGCTGAGACAATGATTCAGTCCTATGTGGCAGTATTTTTGTTTTGCTTTCAAAATTTATAATTTATTTCATAATATTTTTAGCCCCAAAAGAATTTTGAATTTTCTAAGATTTCTTTCTGTTAGTGACTTTTGCTGATATTCATAACTTTTTTCTAATATATGTGTTTTTGCTTGTACAAGTAAAATTACTCAAATGTGTTATATAAATTGTATTGTTTGCTTTTGCAATGTTTCTTGGTTAACCAAAGTTATCAATATCTTTTAACTAAGTTGCATGTTTTTTTTTTTTAACATTTCAATTTGTATGGTATAATAAATTTCAAACCTTTGCAGCTTGCACCACGTTTTGACGCATGCTTAAACATCTTATATGCATGCAATTGATGCATGCAATTGATAATTGTACCTTGGTCAGAACTAGTGCTTTGTTTTTGGCAGATAAATTTGGAGCAGCTATGGCTCTTGTTAAATCTGACATAGGTGGGAACATATCGGTATGTTATCTTTGAATAATCATATGCTTACTACAACTTTAGATATCATATGTTTTTCTTGAGGGTTGAGATAATATGCGCAGTCATACTATATTGATATATTTTTGTCCATGCTTGAGTTCAGTTTATGCTGCTATCTAACTTGCCTATATATGGTTCATTTTGTAACTTCTGTTACTATTATTATATAAATCATTGGCATTAGTAATGTCAGGTAGAAATATCATATGCTCTTACTCTCTATTGTGCTGATTTTTATGGCAGAGATTGGAGTCTATGTATAATTCCAATCCAGTGAAATTCAACTACCTGTACAGTTTGGTACAAATAGAGGTTGAAACTAAAACTGCAAAGTCAGGATCTAGTTGCACCAATGGACTTCTTTGGTTAACAAGGTAAAGAACACCACCAATACTTGTCTTCTGTCTTTCATAAACCTAACTAGAGGAGATAATTATCCAAGAGAATGACAACCCCTAAAGATGATTAGGAGGATAACTACAAGATTCTTGGATAATAATAAAACTCTTTCCTATAATTAAAGGCTGTGCTACTTCAAGTTATCTTATATTCTTTAGCACTCCCTCTTAACTTGGAACACGTATTTGAATGAGTGATTATTCCTCTCAACATGTGTAATTTGAAAGATTATGCATATAACTTCTAGCTCTATAATCTTCAGGGCAATGGATTTCTTGGCGGCATTATTCCGAAATTTAATTGAGCACACAGATTGGTCAATGTCACAGGCCTGTACAGATTCTTATAACAAAACCTTAAAGAAGTGGCATGGTTGGCTTGCTAGTTCAAGCTTCACTGTAATGTTCTCTGATCCTTTCTTGATAATTTTTTTTTTCTAGAAACAGGACTTATTTATCACATTAAATGTCTATTTTCTGTTATAAGGAGAGGTTTTGGGGAGGATATAGCGTGTGGAAGGAAATTTGTGGTTTATTAAAAACATGGAACTACAGGTTGCCATGAAGCTTGCTCCTGATAGGAAAAAGTTCATGGACGTCATAGGAGGCTCTGGTGATATCAACACTGACATAGAGAAATTTTGCTCAGCATTTTCTCCTTTCCTTGAAGAGAATCACAAGTTTCTGGTAAGATGGCTTGGATAACTTTGATTCTTAATAAGGATCATTAATGGCATAGACTTGAATGAATTTTTTTCTTTTAAAAAAGAAGCCACTGATCTAGACTTCCCATGAAGTTCTGGTATAAGTTTGACGATTAAATTAAATTAAATTTTAAAAGGAGTATTATTTTACATTGTGGAGACTAACACCGTAATCCCTCCCTCTTTTATTTCTGTTCTGTTTTTTTTTTTAAATGATTTCCCCCCTGAAAAGACTATGATATTTGTGTCATTGCCGCCCCAAATCAAATAAATGAAGTTTGAACTTGTGTCAAAGTTTCATAAGTTTTTGCCATTAGATTCTAATAAAAAGCATGCACTTGTCATATTTTTATTTGAATATCCAATTCAAACGCTTAAAAATTGTACCTTTGTATTAGTGCTAGGCTTGTGTCATTTCAACTAAAAATGACGAAATAGGAGCAAAAAATTGTATTTGAAAAAATTAACTATGAGTTTAAATTTGATGAAAATATATATGGGCTGCAATTCTGCCTCAAAAGTTGAGAAGGGTGTTGTCTTATCTCACATTATTTTTTTTCTTTTCTCACTTTAACACTTAACTTTATCTGTACTCATTGATCCTCAAAAATTAATATTTTTCCCTCCGCTAGTCACTATCCTGAATCTCTCATTTGTTTCTAATATAGTCTGCAACAGAATTCCTTTTTGATAAAGGCCAAATTAGACACTTGGCAACATCAGCCTACTCCATATGGCTTAATCCCAAATCCACATTATTTCATAAAATTGTGAAAATTCATGCAAGCTAATAGGAAACCAAAAGAGTACAAGGAACTAGGTAAGAAACTCTGGCAAAAAAGTAAGTGTACCAATAAGCCTATGGTTACAGGAAATCCACAAAAATAAAGTTCAATGGCCAGTAGGAGTCCAAGTGCTATAATATTCCTTTACATATTGAAATGTTCTGCATTAGGACCTTAGGCTGACTAAAGTCGCTCTTATCGCACAGGGTCGCTGTGGCTTGGATGATATGAAGGCTTCCTAAATCAAAAATCAAGAAATATGATCAAAAGTCCCCTGCTGTGCTTGCTCCTGAATCCATCCTCCATTTCGCTCCTGGCCTCCAAAATAGCAGAGATTGATTAATGATAAATAATCTGTGAATTCATTTCCATACAGCTAATTTCTCTATAGATAATTTATGTTGTTGTCAAGCTTGCCTACTCTACTGCACCGAAGTGGCTCCTCTGCTGCATACTATTTGTTAGGTTCCTGCTTCTGAAGACAAACATGATTTGCTTATAAATATTTCTAAAACAAAAACATGATTTACCTATAATATTTCTAATAGTTTTTATGGGAATCTTATCTTGTGTTTATGAGCTGTGAAAATTTTCTTAGGAGTCGTTATTGCCAAGATATTAACACCATCCAGTTCTTCATATAAAAACATATTTTATGCATAAACACACTTTCTGTAAGCATAAGATTTATATATTTAATATATTTTTATTCAAGAGATGTAAATTTTAATATATTAATAATATTAATAGGAAAAATATTGTTTTGGGTTTTTACATTTTGCTCATATTTTGCTTTCTAGTTTCTGCATTTGTTTTCAATGTTCTAAGTTATTATATTTTTATTTTTTATTGTTTTAAATCTTTTTAAGATCCCTATACTTTATTTATAGAGGGATATAAATTAATAAAAAATAAAAGTATAGGGATTTAGAATACCGAAAGAACCACAGGGGTTAATAGTAAAATACAAGTAAAGTGTAGAAATTAAAAATTATGTTTTCTTATATTAATAATTAGAATTTATTATAGATTGAACAGTATATAAAAGATGTACATGCCTTTATTTAATTGAAAATAAGTTCCTAAATATGTTAAGTTATTTCCTTTCTGTATTTCTTGAAGGAAGCATCAAATTTTGAACATGTGAGTCCTCACATTTTTTTTTCCTTCCCGTAAAATTGATACAGGATTATGTTGAAGGTAACTTATTCATTCCTTAATAATGTCATTCATTGTTTAGTCTCAGTACATTAAACCTTATTTTACATTGTGATATTTAACAACTACAATTTTAAATAGCAATAAATGTTTAAATACAAAACTTCCATAGAGGATTTTTACACCATGATCACATTTGAGCATTTACATTATTTTAAAATGAGATCAAGTTCGAGCCAAAAAATACTAAAGTATATTTATGTAAATGATAAGTAGTACTTCCTCTATTTTAAATTATAAAACATTTTTAAAAGAGTTTCTCTATCTTAAAATATAAGATACTTTGAGTATATTAATGTCTTATTAAATACATCAATTTTAATATTATACTTCCTCTCTCTATAATTAATATATGTCCTTTTTCTTTTTAATATATTAAATTATGGGTATTTTTAAAAGTTTATACTTTTATTTTGAAAAGATAAATTTGTTAAGCATATTTAATAAAATTTATTAGTATATAATATTTTGTCTAAAAATGTCTTATATTTTGAGATGGAAGGAGCAATAACTAAATTGTCAAAAAAATGAAATCCTACTAAAAAAAATTAGAACAAAATTGATTATAGCTGTATGTATGTATGTATGTATGTATGTATGTATGTATGCATGTATGTATTTACTGGATAACCACCTGTGATTAGCTTAAGTGGCAAAGTCGGGAATCAAATATAGCTAAATGGTTCAAGCTCTCCTAATATATAAATAAATGTAATATACTTCCAAATCTTATTTATAAGATGCCTTCTAAAAATAATTGTTGATTTAAAATGTAAGACATTTTATAATAATTAAATTATTTTTTAATTTTATATTTTTCATAAAAATATTTAATGTAATTATATCAAAATTTAAAGTTAAGAATAAAAATGAAAATAAATTTTATTTTTATGGTAGAAATTGGAGGGAATACATACACACACATCAAAGGATTGAATACCAACCTACAATTAGCTCAAGTGCTAAAGATAGAAATGATGTTTATATATACACACACATATTAAAGGATTGAATACCAACCTACGATTAGCTTAAGTGACAAAGATAAAAATGATATATAAATAAATGGCTCAAACTTTTCAAACATACAAGAAAAATGTAAATAAAGCGAAAATCACAATCAAATTTGATAATCTTATTGATATCAGAAGTTCAAATTGAACCAAATCTTCAAGCTCCTCCCTATCCTCAGGGAAAGACGAATTTCCCCCCTTGTATAAGATGATAATTTGTGGGGTTTACCAAAGCCGCAGAGTTATCCTTTGTGAAGCGTTTATTTCGGAGGTTTCACTAAATATAACCATAACACCTGAGGATTTAACACAAGCTCTCTGCATTCTCACCCAAAGTTCCGGCAAGGCACTGGTTTTGTACTCACCGGCCGGCGATCAAAACCAGTGCTCACCGGATTTTCCATCATTCTGGGTTTAATTTGCCCTTTCAACGCCATAGTCAATACACCAAGAATCTCCTTTCTCTTTTCGGTTTACTTTCTTCCCCTTGTTCCTTTGATAGCTATCTCACGTTGTCTAGCTAGTGACCTACGTGTGTTTAGCTTCAGGCATTGTGACCCTTGTTTTCCAGGTAGCCGCTACAATTAGATGACATTGTTTCGTCCCCGTGTCTTCTATGTCTTGACAATTCAGAAACAATTGGACCAATCTGTTTCCTACTGAAATGTGGACGTCCATCTCCAAACCTTAGCCCCACCACCACCTGTGTTTGAGGTACAAGGTTTCTCCGGCAAAACATGACGACCAAGGTGAAAGGACTGTTCAAAGGACTCCGTTACATTTCACAAATATTTGGTGAGCACCATTTATGTTCTATGTCATCGCGCGGAATAGAATTGTTTAGAAGATAATTAAGGTTTTGCTTTGGGATTTATTAACCATTGAACTCTTCGTTTTCGAAGAACTCCCGTTGGTGGTTTGATTAAATAAAAAGATTGAAACGAATGTTGCAGATGAGAAGGAAGTAGATGACATACAAATCGGGTTTCCAACAGATGTAAAGCACGTGGCACATATCGGGATGGATGGTCCATCAGCAAGCACCCCAACCTGGGTACTTCATTCAACTTTCTCCTCTCCATTTTACTTGCCTGTTCATTCATGTTATGTTATTTAGTACTAAGCTTTTATTCGCATTTTAAAATTGTGCAGATGAATGAATTTAAAACTGCATCCGAGGTTTCACAACCTGCACCGGCAGAAGCACCAGTCAACCCTGTCAAAACTCCAGGAGGTTTGTATACACTTTTTTTTTTTTGGCCAAAAGGTTTGTATACGCATTTGATTTGGTCTTTCTCCTAAAAATTCAAACATGCAGATAGAATGGAATAATGTATTTGTATTATTAAGAGTTGGGGGAATAAGGTCATGATTATGAACAGTTCAGGTTCATATTCACTCTCATATTGATCATATTCATATATTTTGCAGACAGCAAGACTTCAAAGGATTCAAAACAAGTAAAACATATTCCAAAATCAAGGCACGGTTCCTTGGAAAGCAATAACGTTGATTCCCCAACTCGAGGGAGCTCCGACGGATCAAAGCATGCGCGACGCCACCGATCATTGGACCCTTCATCGGAGTTTTCGGTTCGTGATTCATCGTCCTCTGGCAGCCGACAATCAAGAAAAGCCCGGAGCTCGAATCCAGGATCCGATTCGCAGGCGGCATCGAAACCCCGGCGTCGGAAGACGAAGACGGCATCCGTTGACGGCTCGGAGAGGTCATCAAGAAGATCGTCGAAAGGGGATTCCATGACTGATATCTCTTTACCTGATCTCGATGCTGTGAGCGAAAACTGCTATCAGCGGAATAACAGCGAGAATTGAGGATTGACTTGGATCGATCATTCAGGTGTAGAGATACAGATGAGATTGTAATGAGGATCTAGAGAGAAAGAGAAGGCGGGAGAGAGGGGAAGATCATTTGTATTTTGTAATCTGTAAATTAGTTAATTTGAAGTTTGGATGCAGTCCTCGACTCGGAGGTTTGCCTTCGATTTTTTTCCAATTCTTCTTGTTTTCTTTCTTCAGTATATTTTCATGACAGCATATATTTTTTATTAGTAACATTCTATCCCTGGCGGAATCATTTGAGTCACCTTTTAAGAAAAAGAAAAAGAAAAAAAACGTGATGTGTGCTAGGGAAATCAAATAGAGATTTGCAAAGGAATTGTTGTTTCTTTTGGTTCAGGGTGGACGGGCATGATGAGTGCTAGCCTACAATACCAGTAATCGGAATGAATGAACAGAGCACATATATCCATTTCAAAATATCAACCGTAAAATGACACACAAAGCAGGAAACACTAGCATGTTTCTCTGTACACAACTCGCACACATCATTCATCCTATATCGTACAGCTTTTTCTCTGTCCAACAGCTTACTAATTTCCCACAACAAACTGAGGTTCCATGTTTTCCTTGTCGGAGATTTTGAAGACGGAATCCTTCTCGCTTGACTTTGCCACTGGGGATATCTTGAAATCACTTGACTTCTTTGAAGAAGGAAGTGGAGTTCCCGTATTCTGAGAGAGCTCTCTTTGGTTCCCACAGAGAGTAAATATATTCTGAATTCTCAGCAGTCTAAAGTCTTTGTCCTCCTCTGGATTGCGTTTGAAACAACGATCATCTTCTTGTTTCGGACTTCTTCTAGGCAAGTTTGATGCTTTGAGCTCGAAATTCTGAACAGAGCATACCCTCTTCTCCTCTATTATTTCTTTCTCCACTTCCTCATCTTCCCCCTTCTCTTCCTGATCCTTCTCTTCTTCTTCTTCCTCATCTTCATAAACTGTGCTGAGACCATATCTTGGTGCCAAAACATCAGATTCTAACACTCCATTTAAAGAATTCAAGGGTTGACTTGAAGGGAAGTTTTGGCTCGTACTGTTATTATCAACCCTGCACATAACCAGAGGTTCTTGATCATCCATGTCCAAATCCATGGATTTAACCATCCCAGGGTCCTCCTCGCTCTTGTATATACGCATTAGCCTCTTGGCGAACCCACTTGATTCCATCTCTTTGGACTCATTTTCCTCGCTATAGCCTCCTCCTTCCCTTGAACAACGCAGTTGAAGCTCGATTTCTTCTAGTCTCTTCCTCAAAAGTTCAACTTCCTCCTGTTGCTGTAATATCCTCTCTTCCATTCTCCTCCTCTCCAATTCCACAAACTCGTTGGCCATTCGTTGGCACTCCTCCAACTTCTTCTCCAACTCTTGTTTCACAAGCTGAGTTCGTTCAAATACCTTCATGTTAATCTCTTCTTCACTAGGAGCATTTTCTTTGCCTCCCATGAGCTCTAGCTTGGCTCTCAGTGAAGCAACCTCCTCTTCTTTCTTCATAAGCTTTTTGTGTGCCTCGTTTCGCTCTTTTTCTCTGGCCTTGTTTTCCATTTGCAGCTTCATGATAAATTCGTCCATTGCAGCAATTCTGGACCCCAAGATGACAGCAGAAGATTCTTCATCCTTAACCGGGGTGAGAGGGCCACGAACAATGCATTTTGCTTTTGCTCCATATTCAAGAGTAGAGATGGTCTTGTGGATCTCCTTGGGATCGGGACTTGCACATAGTATCATCAGAATTTTTGACTTGTCATCCTCAAAGGAATCCTTTAAAGGGGTAAAACAAACAATCCTGTGAGTCAAAATATGAAACATCTTACAAGAATCCGGCAATTCATTCAACTAAAAATGATCCAGTTTTACCTGCAGAAGCATGGTAAGTTTGCTGTCTCTGAAAGGAACGTGTGAATCACCATTGGCAATAGATTCAACCACCCTCTTCAGGGCTATATTACCTTGATTGATCTTTGCTGTCTGTTTACATTAAAAGCACAATCAATACTCCAGCAGGAAACTTCAAGACTCGCACAAGAACATAGATATGGAAAAGATGTTACCTGCATTTTGGCTTCAAATCCAGTTTGACCAGCTTGCTCAATATTCTCAGATCCTGCCATATCTACAAGCATTAACCTCCCTCCCACTGTTGGGACATCGAGGATTATCTGTTCAGATAAGGAGACATCTCAGTACCAACACCACGGATAGCATATTACTTTTAGCAGAATAGTCTTCTATGGAAAAACAATCATACCATGCAGTGGCTTCGAGAACTCCTTTCATTACAAAGAGTGCTTTTAACAATCCTGCGCTTCTCTACCTTCTGAATTTCTTTTGAAATTTTTCCTGCTTCAGTTCCAGATATATAGGTTGCATTCTTTGCCTTTTTTCCCATTACTTCAAGTTTCACCTGTGATTAAAGTTGCATTAACATGAAATGTAGGGGTAACTAACACCAAACTAAGATCTGAGCCTATTATAGAAGATCCGAGGATAAATACAGAGATAGTAATTTTGAAATAAAAGATAGAACATCCATAACATATTTACCTTGGAAGCATTGCCTTTAGGCCAGCCCAGTCCTGCAAATCCTCCTCCTCCATTTGTGGACAAGAGATCATAAATATCCTCGTTATAAATCTCTAAAACAGTGACTTGAACAAAATTTCCAAGGCAAGGATTTTCCCCTCCCTTAGAATCACAGCCTTCGTCTCCATCTCCAAGAATGTCCCTCAGAGACCGATAGACAATACCTGCCTGCTTTGAACATCCGAACATGGTGTGACTCTTTCCAGAACCCGTGGGTCCATACATCATTATAGTACACTTCTCACCCAACTTAACTGCCTTGATCCTCGATTCCACAAACTTCTTGTAAAAATCAACAAGGTCCTCTTCTTCAGACAAAGAAACTCCATCAAGGGTGAAATCTCTGTACCCAAAATCAGCCCTAACACGGATCGATTGCGAGTTCGAATTGATCTGCAAAACTGATGAAGGCTTGTCTTTTCGATCTGGGTAGTCACGGATTCTCGCTATAACCTCGACTGGGTGCTCTGAAGGGGCCTCCTTGGCAGCCAAGTTCGGATTCGGAGTTGGATGTGCTTTCACACCATTGAAATTCAGACGATGTCTGGATTGAGGGGTTTTTGACTGGGTTGGGTGATTAGGCTTGGAAGAAGGCGTAGGAGCCATGAATCTGAAGAATCACCCGACAGAAAACGAAGTTTTTTCCTCTCGTTTTAACTGAAAGAAAACGAAATTAAAGATTGAATCTTTAGACTTAGATCTATAATTCACGGGAGGGAAAGAACGAGAGAGTAGGAGAACGTCAGCTTGGACGACGAGACGGCGACAGATTTCAGAAACAGCTGGAAGAAAGGAAGAAAAGAAAGAAGGAAATAGATGAAACTTGGAGATGAAAGAAAATGCGAGTGGAATTGTGACGAGTTTTGAAGTTCAGAACCAAAATGTAGCCGTTACAACTCTAACGTCTATATCGCTATTTATATTTTTCACTTCCAAGGGGTGGGGATGGGCCATTTCTTTCGATCTGGCGCACGGAATACTTATGAATAAGCGGCGATTTAAATACTTTTTTCCTTAACATGGCTGCCTCCTCATTTTCCCATCCCATTTTCTTTTTAACTTGTTAGTATTAGTATAGGTTCTTTCCTCTTTTGCTAGAATATTAGTGTAGTTAAAATTGAGTGTTTAATTGGAAGTCCCAATAGTTACCCATGGAAGTATGCAATGCCAAAACAAGTGTTTAAAGATTTTCATTCAACTTTTTAAAGCTTGCATGAATTGATTACATAATTCCCTTTCCCTCTTTGAAAATTTAATTTTTTTTTTTGGCCAAATCTTTGAAAATTTAATCGAAAACTATTTTTTCTTTTTTTGCCTGAATCAAAACTAATCACCCTTAATATTACATAAGTGCGACTTTTTTTTTTTTTTTAAGTTGGGGTTCAAATTTTATTATGTTTCCCATGTAACTTGATTTCTAATAAAAATCATGGATTTCCATATTGTTGCCTCCCTATAATTTATCCAAACTCGTGAAAATATTCAAGTCTTAATTTAATCCCTATGTCTCCATTTTATGACTTCAATCACAAACTTGTCAAAATAAATGCTATCACTGGAAGACCAAGATATAAGAAAAATAGCAATAACAATGTAGCTTTTGGTAACAAAATAGCAGTTACTAATAGGATCCTTTTTGAAAGAGGGCTTTGCCTCTATTATAGAGAAATTCAAAATCTCCAAATGTTAAAAAATAAACAATTTTTAGATACTTTAAAAATTTTATTTAAAAAATTATTTTGTAAAGATTATGGAAAGACAAATAAACATTATATTAATAATTATTTTATTTGGTTATAATATAAAAAAAATTATTGTTTACTAGTTATTTATTTTTGATATCTTTATGAATACTTGTTTCATAAAAAATATTTATTATTTAATTATTTTAAAATTTTATAATATTTTCACGTATTTCCACACTTTTATAATATTCTTTTTTATCCACCAAATTATTATATAAACTTATTTTCAAAAACTATTCAACATAATTTTTTAAAATAATTAATTTTTTTAATTTTAATTATTTTTCAAAGTTAAACAAATATCCCAATACCTCACAAATTTAAAAAAAAATAATTTTTTCATGGGGACAAAAATTGAACAAGCATAGCCTTAGAGCAATGAAGCGACGTTTTTTTAAGAGGTATTTAGTTGGAAGGAAGGGAAGGTATTTTAGCCCCCTCCCCTTGTTTGGTTTGGAAGAAGAGGGGTAAAATTTTTCATACATTAATCAATATGTCCTCCTGATAAGTTCAAAAAATGTAAATATATTTCAATGCTAATAAAATAAGAGTAAAATTATTCATATATAATTATTTTGCTTTCCATTCCCTCCTAAACCAAACCAAACAATGTAACATCAAAATCCTCCTCTCCCCTTCATTAAAACCCCTTCCCATTCTTCCAACCAAACACATTCTTAGAGGTGGGTGATCTTACATTTGAAGAGAATGTTAACATCCTTGAAGATATATATATATATATATATATATAAATTATAGGATCCGATTTAGTTAATAACTTATAAACGATAAATGATTAACATATTCAATAATATACATTGAAAGGCTTCCAAGTTTAGCCGGGACAATGCATACTCCAGGAAATCACGAGATCACAAAGACCCTTAGCTCACCTCTATCTCCTCGAGTAAGACGGGTATTTGAATCAAGATATGTAACTTCAAATTCACCAATTCCAGTATTAGATGGAGGCCTAAATTGATCAGGAATTCGGGGTATCTCTAATGGTGGCAATTGCGACAAGTTCCCGGCTGCCTTCACTGTGGTTTTCTCAAATATTATTTTTATCTTTGAAGATCCTGCACTTACAAGAAACACCCGGCGCAAGATCAGATGGTAACGAGACTGGAAGATGGTCATTTCTGGCAAACAACAATTGTACAGAAGACTATAGATAAAGAAAAGCACAAATTATCACTGCACAAGACCCAAAACGAAAAGAAACCGACCTACGAGTTCAAATTTATGAGCTAATGTGGCTGTTACTTCGATAGGTGGTAGGGGCCATGGAACACCCAGTTGAAGCTCCACTATATTATCAAAATCCTTGCTCAGGATATCAATTCGTTGGAAAACCTATTGGCAAAGCAAAATATACGTTTGGTAGACTTAATCATTGATGGGAGATTCTAGAGGCCGAAGAAAATCTAACAAACAAGCAATATCGGTTGCTCAGACTCAGCTGCATGTCCAAAGTGATACATGTCTCGCAGAAGAAAATATCTCAATAGCCACCAGCAGTTGGAAAATTTAAAATAGAAACTCAGAGTCATGTAAAGCTTAAAGGTATTATAATCAAGTCTTTTATGTTAAGGGTACCTGACCAAGAGTTATAGGAAGAAGTCTGCCGGTTGGAGGGCCAGGACGGCTCCCGCCCAGCGTACGTGATGAGAAGGCACTGCTATAAATCAGTTTCCACCTCCCTTGCAATTTATCCAGATCGACTGTCAGATCTACCAGTCCTCCGATACCTTCAAGTTCCTTAGCCGCAGCATCTGCCTTTCGTAGATCATCTTCACTAGCAGCAAGACCTCTATTTAGCCCAGAAACAGCACTCTGCATTATAAAGACAAGACTTGGTACAAGAACATAAGAAGAATAATGATAAAAATCAGTATTGAGTTTTGCATGATGTTTACGCGTGGCAAGGCATTAGGAACTTATGCCAGACCTCCGCTGTGCCTATATGAGCAATATTTTTTACTGCATATGGACCACTGACAGTCTTAGATAGTTAGATGAGTTGGACACATGTTGCTGTTGGACACCAACACTACTAGCATGGAGTGTATCGGAAAAAATTCAGCTAGGATGCGATGGAACCAGAAATCCATCTTGATAGATAACAGAAATTTTTTCCTAAAGTCAACATATTAGTATCCACCATACACAAAACTACAACCAGAGCTAACATAATGCTCCATAGGTAATGAATAATTGGATGCATCAATTAAGTCCATTTAATCCATCGAGTTTCATCAGCGTCTTAATAAAAAAACTCGACAAGGATTGTTCTCATCTTTGGCGTGTTACCATTGCAGGAACCCGAAACAAGAGTGGAAGTAAAATATATTATAATTTCTCATCTCCAAACTCAGTCATGCATTCAGTATCCTATTGGCTTCAGTATCACATGAAATTCATCAGTTTGTTATGCCATCATCGTGCATAAGGACCACGGCTTTCAGTGAAAGATGATTGATCTAGATCATGCAAAGTAGAAGCCATATTAACTGGATAGCTGACTTCCAAATTTAATAACAAATGGCCCAATTCCAAACATGTAGCTTCCAGATTGCTCAATTTAGTAAAACCCTTCAACTAAGCAGAGGCAAGAACCCAAGATCAAGAAACAGGCAGTTCCAAGACCTTGCGAACAAGCAAATACTATTTCGAAGCGATAAAAAGAGATGGTCAATTAAAAGTGTAAAAATAATCGAAAGATGCGAGAGGAGGAGAAAACAGGAAGCTAGAGCCGATCAAAACTACACGAGTTTTGTAAGGGAGCAAAATACCCACCAGTAAATTGAGCTTGAGAGACGCGATAAGATCGCCGGGCGGGCCTCCGTTTCGAGGAGGCGGTGGGGGAGGTGGGGGAGGGTCAGCGACAGGGACACGGTCCACAGCCGAATTGAGAACAAGGGTTCGGTTGCGGCGGCTTGGGGAATGTGGCCACGGAGAAGATTGGAGAACGGGCTTTGCGTTGCAGGGAATAAAATTGCGGACAGAGGAGCAGGAGGATGTTAAGCGGTAAGAAATAAAGATGGGAGACTGAGGAAGAAGGACCAGGGAAGGCATGGCGATGCAGGAGAGAGTTGGCAACCAACGCTTGGGAGTCGGAGGAGGAGAGAAGCCGATGGCTGTGGAATATTCGCGGAGTTTTTTGAGATTGATTTTTGTAGAAAACGCTCGAGCAAGCGCTTAGTGACAAGGAAGCACTGGCTGATCAAGCATCCGGGAGAAAAGCGACAACCTTTTATTGAGCGCCACGTAGAGCTCGCAATCCCTTCCTCTCCTTGTAACGGGAAGAAATTTTTTGGAGAGAATCGCACTGCAGCCTTTAAAATAATAAAAAAGTTTACTTTTGATCAAATATGTTCTACACGGCAGGTTCATGAATTTTTATTACAAATTTTTTTAAAAGTAAAAGTATAATTTTGTTTTTATATAATTTGAAAATTTAGATCATGTACAATATGATATCCATGGTACACGAGACGATATTGACCATATTTATTTACATGCACAACACAATATTCATGAATGCATAGTATAATATTCATGGATATACAACACAATATTCATGAATTCTCAAAACAATGTCCATGTATGTCCATGCATAAATATTTAGTTGAGAATGTATGGATATTGTGTTATAATTTTTTTATAATAAAATTTATATTTAATTTTTTTATTTTTTTTCTATTATCATTAATATCATATTCATAATTAATTTATATTTAATATATAGTCATCTAAATATCTTGTTTTTTATAATCAATTTATATTTAATATGATGTCATCTCAATATCATGTTTTTATTGGATAAATAAATCATAAATGATATAATATATCTGATCTACTTAAAAATTTTTATATGATAGGAAGTAGGGTTATTTCATAATGGATCATGAATCTTAAGGAGGTCAAGGTATCTAGTTCTTAAGGTTTCTAGTTCCTAACTTTATATTTCTTTCTTTCTTTTTAACATGAGTTAGAATCAACTAATGTCGTGTTTATTAAAAAATACATTTTTTACAATTAATATTAATTTTACCAACAATATTGTGTAAGAATTTAACAAGGATAAATAGAAAAAGGGGTAAAATTGAAAATAATACTAAATACTCTAACTTTGCATTGTATTAAAAATAAAAATAAACATCTTTCAAATGTTAATGTATATCAAGAATCAGAAGGAGTAATTATTTTTCAAATGTTTAAGAATTTATTCTTGACTAGAAATAAATGAAAGGATGAGTTAAATGATGCTTTCTAGGGGTACATTTAAACCATTTTTCTACATATATTCATCATTGACATAATGGAAAGTGAAGGTGTGTAATTTGGTGTCATTTTTATATTGTATGTCAATGTCTTTCTATAAGTCAAGTGATGATGTAAGAGACCTGTTCATTGTGATACCTGGAGTATCGGAACATAGCATGTTTGAATAAATTGTTAATATTGTAGCATAACATGCTCGACTATTTTATTGTGGTGGAGACTCATTTAAATAGTTAAAAGATTATCCACCTCTTTGTTAGCTTGTTGAGTTATCCGGGTATAGTCAAGCCGATTCATTAACTTCTATTATAACTTTCCTCCCTATTTCGATATGAAAAGCTGAAAGGTACACTATATGCTATATTTTGTGTGGTTTGAGATACTAACCTATTTTTGCAAGCAAGTTATCCAATTAGATGAACTTATATAATCTCTACTCACAGGTCAAAAGCTTCCATGCAATAAAATCGTTAACCTGATATATCTTATTGAAGAGTCAGGGTTCAATCAAATATTGAAATATTCACGACATACAAGCTCATACAATACATTATATATACCAAAATTATTAATACAATAGTGTGTTAAGCTATGCAAATGTGTCATATACAAATATATATATATAGAGAGAGAGAGAGAGATTATGCAACTATATCATATGATGCAGTATCACATACAAATGAATCCTCTGCACTGTTTCTTTTTAATTGAAGAATCCTAGGGACTAACATATGGTCCAGAAAAAGTTCAATGGACTTGGAAATAAAAATCTATTTACACATAGAAAAGTATATCTTATTACTATATATTGATCTGCAATAATTATATTTTTTTTGGGCTAGTTTCTGAGGGAGAGGGTCTAGTAGTGGGGTCTACAAGGTTGGGGGTAATGTGTTGGGTTTGGGTGCAGTAGCTAAATGAATTGGATGGATTCTTTTTCAGCCTATCCGAAACATGGTATAATTGGGTTGCTGAATAAAAGCATTTAGAAAAGCCAAGCCGCTCAAAATCCACTATCCACATCCACGACCAATGTAAAATTACTTACTTAAACCCAATTAATATTTGCCAATAATCAAATCACAAAAGTTACTAAGGTGTACAATTTTAAAAAATGAGGATCCCAAGTTTTTATAATCTAAATACTCCCACAGACTTTTATCATTCATAAGTTAGAGTTTAAGATGAATGTGGAAGCATGGAATCAAAAATAAATTGATGCATTTAAAAAAGAAATGAGTAAACATCAATTCTTAATTAAAGTTGCAAGTGCGGCGTGGCACATTGACAATGCACTGTGGCTTATCGCCTTTGTGCCATGCACCCAGTGTATTGCACAAGTTTGATAGCATTTTGTTGTCAAATGACAGCACTAGGAATGAATTTTTAGCACGCTTCAAATCTTCATCCGGCATCCAATCGAGGTGATTTAGGAGTATACTGAGAGCTTTCTCCTTGTTCTAGATAATAGTACTAATTTCACACTTAAATCATTTTTCTATTAAAAGTTAGACACTCATTATAAATCTCACTCCTCTTTCACATAAACACACAACTGGGTTGCCCAAACTATAACACAAGTGACAAAAGCCTACACCGATCCTTAAACCACAGTCAATTGACCATTATGGACTTATACAACACAACACAGTAGACTAAAAACTTGTATATTGAAATTTTTACACTCAACCCCTTGATTACAAAAATATAAGGGGAATTAACTTCGTTTAATTCAACATAACATTCCTCAATGTCAATTAAATTACACATTACCATACTTATACTAATATTTCAGCCCTGTAAAGCTTTACGGCCTCATCATAAATAAGCACAAGGCATTAAATACATTTAAACCATTAACATTATAGTGCAAGTAGTCAAAAGAATCATATGAGATCCTAATTGACAAATTAACAATGTTCAAATATACATAATTTAAACTAGGAGGCCTACAAGTAGGATTTACTAATCATCTTATGCCTCCAGTCATTTTTCTCAATCTTAATATGATGAATTAGATCATATAATATTAAAGAATGAAGGATGAGTACAACTACTCAATAACTAATGTTAATTTAGCCTATACAATTGCATATCAATTAACTACAAATATAAATGACAATAATCTCACAATCATCACATGCACGTATTTCAAATATAGCCTCGGCCAGAAAAACAATAATGTGTCGGAGCATGCAACACATATCATCAAATATATTTTAAAAATGCACATCTTAGGGTCGTAATAATAACAATCATGCGTCCTTAATGAAAGACATCCCAAACCGCAACAACCACTATGTGGTTGGGACTATAAATATATAATCAATGCCAACTTTATATCTTTTTGATATATCTGACATGAAATCGATGACTATTAAATAATTACATCCTCAAGTCGAACTAGTATACACTTCTATACATGAGAAGCTGATGGGCTAAGGCGAATCCACTTACTTGTAATCTATAGTTTTTCTTAATACTAACAATCATAGGGTGTTGTACCTCTAATTTAGCCTCCTCATAAACTGACGAAGACTAGTTAGATTATAATCCCTTAAAGAACAAGTAGGACAATCCCTAATCAACTATGGGGTAATGACTACCTCCTAATTTTAAAAATCGATGCTAAGACAAGTTTTTGATTTCAATAGTAAGTTGTCAATATCACATGGATTTATCAATATACTTCTCTCCTTATAGGCAAACTCTCTCCTTAATGATCATGTCATATACATATTAACACATAGTATGCAACATTAATGACATCTATCACAATATATCACGCTTATAACTAACCATCTCCATCATACTCTACATAACTCAATATGCACAACATCATATTCTTTATTTTCATATATACATGCCTAGTTACTAGCATCAAATTAATCCTATTACTTTATCAATTTTGTATCAAACAAGTTTACAAACACTAATAAGTTTCAAATCAATCTCTCTAACATATAATTAATTAATATACAGAAGTATAACTAAATTTCCTCAATTACTTCAGACCTTTAAGAGGTCAAAAATTTACCCTTTAAAATACAACTTCCCAAGCTTTCTCAATATCTTGAATGATGTTAAGTTGGATAATCTATAATCCAATCATAAGGACATTTATTATCACCCTTATTTGAATAATTTTTACATTTTAATCAACCTTCTAAACCCATACAAGGATACAATCTCCCATTTTTTCGATATACCCGTTAAGTCAATTAAGTTCTTTTAACTCACATTGTCATTAATGAACCATTTAACCACTATTAATGGCATTTCAACATACTTAACTACCTTAATTAATGCCATTTTTGAGTATTAAGGGTCCTCACTAACCAATGACCCATAAAATCATTAACACTAGATTTAAGTACTTTAAATAACTCACATTGTCTCTATTTTAGCTAATGGGTTCGGACCTATAACTCATATGGACTGAAAAACATCATTACAACTCAAAGCTTAACTTAAATCTTTATGAAAATGGAAGAGAAAAGAGGAAAGGAGTTTAAAAACCTTACCTTGGGTGTTTTCTAGCTCCAATATACTCCCAAACCTTTATTGTATCAAGCTCTCATAGAGAAGTTTCACTTGCTCTTCATTTTCTCCCTTTTCTCCTTCTAGTTTTTTGTTTAATTGGTGTATTTCATGTCAGAATATTTAGTCATATGCCATGGCACACGCACCACATGCCACGACACATGGCATAGAGAGGTAAGTCCTTATCTGATTGACACACATATGCCATAACGGATGAGCCATAAACCGCAGCATATAGCATAGAATCATTATCTTCACTTTTCTTTCCTTTTTCACACTCAGGTAATCCAACTTCACTTTAAACCCATATTTAGAGCTAAAATCACAACTAAACACTCTTATTAGACCTCTCTAGTCATACCCTACATTAATT